TTAATGAAAGATAATATTATTGATTAAATTTGCCACGAGATTTCAGTAATTTACCTGATCATGTTGTCATCTAGAATTAAACTAAACATTATATTCATTCTACAGTGTTTCTTGATGGCTAGGCATTGTGCCCTGTTCTCTAAACATAATAATGAATAAGATATTTATTGCTATTGAGCTATCATCTTCATTCATTTATTCAGTAAATGTTACTGAGTCCTATATACCAGAATTTATATTAGTTCCAGTTAAATAACACTTTTAGTGCCTACCTTTTTAATTGTTTAATTTATTATTATTCAACTTCTATTTTAGATTCGGGGGCACATGTGCAGGTTTGCTACATGGGTATATTGTGATGCTCAGGTTTGAGTTATGGATCGCATCACCAGGTAGTGAGCATAGCAGCCAATAGGCAGTTTTTCAACTTGCCCCTCTCTCTCCCTTCCCCCTCTAGTAGTCTGCAGTGTCTGTTGTTCTCATCTTTATGTCCATGTGTACCCAATGTTTAGCTCCCACTTATAGGTGAGAACATGTGTTATTTGGTTTTCTGTTCCTGCATTAATTCCCTTCGGATAATGACCTCTACTATTTACAATAGCAAAGACATGGAATCAACTTAGGTGCACATCAACAGAGGATTGGATAAAGAAACTATGCTACATATACACCATAGAATACTATATGGCCATAAAAAGAACAAAATAATGTGCTTTGCAGCAACATGGATGTAGCTGGAGGCCATTATCCTAAGGGAAATAATGCATACCTTTTGAATACCTATTAATAGCCAATTACTGTGCTAGGCACAGAAGATACAATGGTTAAAAGACAGTCCCTGACCTCAAGGCATTTATGATCTATATGCACAGGCAGACAAATAAAGAGGCAATTAAGTATAATACATGTTATGATAGTACAGATTGTTATGGGAGTACGTAGGAAGGTACCCAGGAAAAGTCAATCAAAGATAAGACCTAAATGACAGTAGATGTTATGAAGGAAAAAGGGGTAGGGGAGAACATTCCAGGCAAAAGGAATCGCATTTTAGAATTAATGACTGAACCATAACATACAGTGAAAAAACTTAGTCATTCACTTATTTCTTATTTATTCATTTACCAACTGTCATTGAAAAAAATAACACCAGATTATTTTTGGTTTATTATCACTTACATAAAATAGTCAGTACATTTTGACAAATGAATATATGAATGAGGTTATCACGTGTTGTGTTGAATGCTTGTTCTGTAGCTTTTCACTGGTCTGTCACTTTTGAGAAGCAACATAGACAGTCTCCATTCGTGTCTTTTCTTTTCCTGATAAAGTATTGACAAACAAGGGAGAAGTTGAATCCACAAATTGACACCATGGTTACATAGACTCTGCAGCTGACTCACAATACTGTGTTTAACTCAGGTCTTGTTATTCAGGATAATGAGAGTGCAAGCTATGCTCTAGAATTATGTTGTTTAATATGAAAGCCACTTACCATGACTATTTAAATTTATATTAAATAAAATTAAACAAATTAAAAACTCAATGTATCAGTCACAGTAGCCACATTTTAAGTGCTCTGTAACTTTATCCTATCATATTGAACAATGTAGAACTTTTTTTTTTTTTTGAGACGGAGTCTTGCTCTGTCACCCAGGCTGGAGTGCAGTGGCATGATCTCGACTTACTGCAACCTCTGCCTCGGGTTCAAGTGATTCTCCTGCCTCGAGTAGCTGGGACTACAGTGTGTGCCAGCATGCCCAGCTAATTTTTTGTATTTTTAGTAGAGACGGGGTTTTTTAGTGTTAGCCAGAATGGTCTCAATCTCCTGACCTTGTGATCTGCCTGCCTTGGCCTCCCAAAGTGCTGGAATTACAAGAACATTTTTATCAGTGTAAAAAGTTCTATTAGATATTCCTACTCTAGATCTAGATTATTATTTTTACTAAACTATTGATAAATATTTCAGGATAGTGTTGAAACATAATAGTTGCTCAATAAATAGTTATTAATATTTTTAAATTTAGCTTTATTCTCCTTTAATGGCAAAGTCTCACTCTTTAAAGTAGAAACCAACATTTACACAAATCCTCTAACATATTTTTTGTAGCAATCAAGGTAAAAATTTGATTAATGGGCTGACAATCGCCTTCCTGAATCTGTAATACCAGAAAATTTCCCAGATGTTAGTGTAGCATGGCTGCTTAAGCAAGACTGACAAAACAATCTCAAGGTGACAAATTTCCATGTCATGACCCCCTCATGTTGCGTTGCCCACTTTCGGTGGAGGCACTGATAAGTAGTATCACTGCCAAGAGTGCTTAAAGCAAAGGGGAGGAGATGCCAAGACTTTGCAGAATCTACTTTGAATAATGAAGAATTAAATATCATTCATCTTAAACTGATTTTCCAGACACACTGCCAAGAAGCAAACAAGTAACTCTATATTTTTGATACCAGAATCTAAAAGAGTTTCAAAGGGGGATGGCTGGCACCTGCATGTGAGTTTAACTCATTTTATGAGTAGTCCCTCCCCACCCATTAGGCTGTGTACAATTATTTTAAATGTGCTCATCATACTGGCTTATGTACTTAGAGCTACACCAGCTCAACAATATCCAAATGATCATAAGGTAACAAAGTAGAGCAGAGTTAGAAGATCAATGATTGCTAAGCACCAGTCTGTTTGCTTATTGATTTACCTCATTCCAGAAATAATTTAAAAATAGTCAAGAGTGGCTGGACATGGTGGCTCACGCCTGTAATCCCAGCACTTTGGGAGGCCAAGGCAGGAGAATCACGAGGTCAAAAGAGCAAGACCATACCACTAACACAGTGAAATCCCATCTCTACTAAAAATACAAAAAAATTACCTGGGGTTGGTGGCACGTGCCAGTAGTCCCAGCTATTCGGGAGGCTGAGGCAGGAGAATCACTTGATCCCGGGAGGCAAAGGCTGCAGTGAGCCCAGATCGCGCTACTGCACTCCAGCCTGGGTGACACAGCGAGACACTGTCTCGAGAAAAAAAAAAAAAAAAAACTCAAGAGTAACCAGTGAAAGTACACCAAAATGCCTATTTTTTTGTGACACAGAAGACATTTGATAAGGAGTGACATATTTGATAAGAACACAATCTAAACAACAAAAAATGAGTGGATGTATTTACCTCTGAAATTAGTAACATGTTTTATAAAATGAGAAAACCTAATTCTGGTGCAGATGAGATATATTGATAACCCTCACACACATGCTGTTGAGAGTATAAATTTAGTACAACTGTTAGAATAATTGTTGTACCGAAGTCTTTAAAGTAGTTATGCACTTTGGCACATCGTTTTCACTCCTCAAAATATCATAAATGAATAATCTATGAAATCTGGCAACTCGTGTTGAAAAGATATTCTTTGAAGTGTTTACACCCAAATTTGGAACGACCTCAAATTGGGAAATGATTAAAAGCTAAACGCAGTGTCATTAAAATAGGTTAACATAGAGTGCTAATAACATGAGAAAATGCTTGATTGCTTAGATTAATTATTTAATATTTAGGAAAAAAGAATTGCATAATTGCATATTGACATAAGGTCAATGACGTAAAGAATATATAAGAAATACATGAAATATTTTAACAATGGTTTCTTCTAAATGATAACGTTTATTCCTTCTAATTCTCTTAATTTTTTAAACTTCTACAAAGAACAAGTATTAATTTACAATTGGCAAAATTAGGTAATAATTCAGAATAATCCATAAAGCAAAGTGTTGATCAAATCACATTGCATATAATTTCACTAGACCTACTGAAAGTGTATGGATGAACAGAATTTGATGGGAGTAAATTTTGGTAGAGTAGAGGCAGTAGTTGTGGCTTATATCTCAAAAGTCATTAAGATATAGACAGATGCTTACAACGCCACAATCTAAAAGATAGGAAGCAGCAATGTCCTGGAACTTTATCCTTTCACTGATGCAGAGCAATTTTTGTGAGATATAACAGGGCATCATGTGTTGACTACAGAGTATTTTCATTATAATGTGTGCTGAAGAGACCATGGATTTTGAAACAAAAGTCTGCACCAACTACTAGTTATATGTAAAATGTTTATACATTAAAAACTAGTTCCACACACACCACCACCACCACCACCACCTACTTTGCATGGTTGTTAGGAGGATTAAAGGAGTTTATGTAAGTTACCTGCCATGATGCCTGATACAAAATGCATTCAGTAAAAGTAGCTACAAGCTTGGTTTCTAAGAGTATAGAAATCATTGGTTGCAGAACAGGAAATATTTAGCAATCAGGAATCTACAGTGAAGTTCTAAGAATCCAACACAGTGATGCAGACATTGAGATGAGCAATATTCAGAAATCCATGCAGGCAGGCAACACGACAGAATTCAATCAATGAGTATCGTTAGCTAAAATAAGGATGTGAAGTGTCCAAGAGAGTTTTAAAAATAATAACTACTTTATAAAATTAAAAACTAAAATCCCAACAACCTTATAACCAGTAATAGGATTTAAGCTTTAAAAAATCTATTTTGCTCAATGATACAGGTGCTATCAGAAGTGGAAATTTCAGTGGTATTCCATGTTTACTACATACAATATAAGCTCTTTAGCCTAGGATTTATGGCATTATACAGTCTTGTTTAATCTGCCTTTCAATCTTTACTTCTTATAATATCATGTACATACCCTATACTTCAAACAAAACGACTTGCTCCTTGCATATTCCTTCACTCCTTATAAATGCCTTCTGCTATTTATTGAGTCTGAAACCAAATGAATGAACAATTATAAAGATAAATTTATAGTATCAAATTTTCCATCACTTATTTAGACCATTGGGGGAAAAAAGGCCTAGAAGTCTCTTTGAATCTCTGCTGATATTGCTCAGATTGATTTTTAATGCCTTTTGTGTGTGTGTGTGTCTCTTCATTTGTTTCTTGAAATAAATATGTGAATTTTAAAACTGACATGACCATTTGGTTTGCAGCGGCTGCGGCAGCAGACATGGCTTACCACCACATCAGACCTCCCATTGGCTATTCCATTCCCAAGCCTGTATCATCTCTGCTGATACGAGGGTGGAACGCATGTCCTGAAGTGAGTAATTTTTATTTCCTCTTAGAAAATGTGTTATGGTCAAAATCTGTCACAAATAGTATAACTCCAAAGTCTACTTTCAGTGTGTATTTTAAGACTGTCAAGGCGGGAAGACTGATTTGCCTTCTGCTCTTTAGTCTCTAATTGCCTCAAGAAGTCTGAGTATCTCATATTTCTTAGCTGCTGCTTTCTGATTTTGAAACGTTTCTCACAACTGATTAGTAAAAGAGAGACCAGGGTATGACAGATGACTCACAGTCTCATCTCAGCTGCAATTTTTATTAACTATGCGTGAGCCACACTTAGTCATTTTCCAAAGCAAGAAATTTGGCACAGGATGGATTTGTGTTGGCTTTTAAACATGAGGCAGGCCTCAGAATAGGTGGTCTTCAGGAGCACTGTGGGAGGCAGAAGACCTGGGTCCTAATCCCTCTCTAACTTTCTGAGTGACAGTATCATGATGTGGTTAACAGCATAGACTTAGAATTCAAATGGAGTGATCAATGTTATGGAAGGGATATGTAAACAGTAAAATAAATTTTTAAATATGGTCATAGGTCTAAAAGAATAGTGAGGGAATGTTATCACAGAATGAAATTCCAGACAATCCGCCTACAAGAAAGGATTCTTAAGTGTGCAGACAGGTTATGCCTGCTTTGTTCTCAGAGATTCACAGAGGAGATTGTACAACTTCTTTCTGAGTAACACAGTCCAGTCCAGTGTCTAGTAATCTTTCTGCCAGTATATTTTATTGTCTTTTAAAATCCTTGTGTTTTGATATCAATCCATTGATTCCATTGCTCAGAGTGGAGAATATTAGTTTGCATTCTTCACACTGGAGGACCTCATACATAAAGACCTAATGGTTCTTATCTTTCCATCCTAAGCCATCCTAGTTATTGTCCTCTTAAAATATAACTTTGTTTCTGATCCTTCCTAGGCACTTTATCTCTCTTCAACAAGAAAATAGATAAAGTGAGGCTGTTATTATTTCAGGAAATCACTTAGGAGAAATAGAATAAGCCCCAGTCCAGATGTTTGAAAAGAGAAAGCAAGTTTTCCATTCTTTTCCTAAAGGCAAAATCCAGACCAAGTCATTACCCAGTCTCATCTGTGTACACAGAAACTCTTAAGAAGAAAAAATGAAGATCGTTTTGGGATGGACTGAGTTTCTCAGAAGATAACCTCTTATCCTGGCCATTCAACCTGATATGTTACATGTTTATTTGTTTAGAATCTTCCATCACTACGAAAATGTAAGCTCCATGAAAGCAGGGGCTTTTTGTTTTGTTTTATTTTGTTCTCTGCTATAACACTAACATCTAAAGTTAGATGCTCAAGAATGTTTGTTGAGTAAATGAATGAATACCACTATTGCCTATCAGTGCCTTCAATCCCTGCATCTGAATTCTGATGTCCACAAAATTTCTTCTTGAAAATTACATCACATAAAATAGTTTAGGAAAACCTTTTCTTGTATTTCAGTATGAACTTCAGGCATATTTTCTCAGAAAAAGTATGCCAAGCACCTATTCTAGAATTTCCTTCTCTCTGTGGGATGTGAGCTATGACAAAGTTTACCATCAAATAACAATCAAGGGAATCCCTTTTGCTTTGATGAAGTGCCTCTTCATAATTATAGATAACAGGTGTGTGGAATTTCTAATTTCAAGATAAAGGTAAGTCATTGGCAGGTCCTAAAAGCATTTTTTTTTTTTTTTTTTTTTGATAGAACAGATGTCTTAAGCAAAAGGTTGGGAAATGAGAAACAGAAATTGGAACATGGCCAAAGAAGGATTCTGTTAAAAAAAAAAAAAAAAAAAAAAAAAGGAAGGACAAAAATCGATTGCTTAGTAGAAAAGTTGTATTGCTATCAGCACAGAGTCTTTGTTCTGCTGATGAGATGCAGAGGGGAAGATAGAGAAAAACCATACTAGGAAAGCAAAGTCTTCAACTGACTTGCAATATGTGGGTCTGCCAGTAAGTCGAGCCTGACTTGGCTCTGGCAACCACCTCAGTATTGTGAAGTTGAGCTGCTTCTGTATGTGACACATTTGAGTCTTCCTTAATTGCCAAGTAAGGTCTTTACCATGTCAGCAAGCTGAGTGGCAAAGAAAAGGAAACAATGGGCTATTTTTCATTATTTCCTTCAACAATTATTTGTTGGGTCCCTCCTGTATACCTCCTAGGGATAGGGGCAAGGGATTCAATAGAGATGGAAACTCTTAACTGAAATGGAGTTTAAGACCTGGTAGTTATATGGAGATTGATTGAATAAACACATTAATGATTCCATAGTTACCTGCCAAGATTAAGAAAGACAAAACTCTGTGAGAATATATACTAAAAGAATACTACTAGCAAGTTGGGGGACAAAGACAGAATGTAGGTTAGTGAAGGCTTCCCAAAAAGAGTAACACTTGAGCTGAAATCATAAACAGGAGTTTTCTGAAAGAAGACAGCTTGGTGAGAAAGAACAGTTTAAGCAACTAGAACATGTGAAAATTCACTGGGAGAACAGATACAAGGGAAAGACTAGTAGTAGTTGCAACATTGTAGTCATGGAGAGGTTAAATCTCTGTATCAGGAATTATTTGAAACAAGTTCATCTTTAGATGGAGGACACTAACATCATGCTATCCTGGTCATTACTTTCTAGGTTATCAACTTTGCTTCTCATTTTTTCTGGTATACCTGTCTTTACCTCATTCCTTGAATTTGAAGCACAGTATTTTCTCCAGGGTGTCTTCTTAGTCAAAATTCATAAGCTAGAACATTGAGGAGAGTAAGAAGACCAGTCTATTGAAGATGGGAGAAGGTTGGAAAACAGTAAGAGGTTAAAAAAAAAAAAAAAAAAGCCTGATATTAGATAGTGACAGATTTTGGAAACTAGAACAGGAAATTTGGATATGGAATTTTGGCAATTGTATTTTTATCTCTAAAGCAGTGACAAGATAAAAGTAATTTTTTAGAAAGTTCATCTGAGTTTGATACAAAGGATTTATTTACTTACTTAAAAAATTGTATGTAGTTCCTATAGTAAGGCAAGCACCAAATTATCTTCTAATGCTCACTGGAATAGCTGAGCATTGTTTCTTAATATGTGGCTGCGAACTGTGGGTTACAGATTACCTTAGAATGTTTGTTGAAACAAAGATTCTGGGGCCCTATCCTAAGTTTACTGAATGAAAATCTCTGACATAGAGCCTGAAACGCCACATTTTAACAAGCACCCCAGGTGATTTGTGCCCAACAAAGACAGAGAACTGATGGGTTGAAACTCAAGCAAAAGACAATGAAGTTGGAGCAGCCAGCTGGATTGCTGTTTGAGTAATCCAGTTGATTACAACACACAGACTACAATGGTTACCATGGAGATTCAAGGGCAAGGGTAAACCTGAGAACGATTTCAAAGGAAACATCATAAAGAGATAAAAGACTGAATTTCAGAAATGGAAGAGAGAAAAGAGACCAGGAGAACTAGCACTGCTGCCTCCTGAGAGTCAGCTAGTGACCAAGAGTACTCATTAGGCCTCTAGATATCAGGGATATTGTTGGCAGCGAGAGGAGAGAGAACAAAGCTAAAGGTGCTGCAGTAAGGTGACAGTGCTTTAAAGTAGAAAAAAAGGAAAAAGGAAAAGGAAAGATAGCTACCAAGAAAAAAAAAGTGACCTGGTCTACAAAGATGAAGAAGCCGTCAATTAGGGTGGAATAAACTTATCATGCAAGAAGTTGACATAGATACTTCTCTCACCTTAAAGGTGCTTTAAAAATAAAGTGGGATCAGGCAAGGCAGATAGGTGGCATAGGAGTTAAGCTCAAGTAGAGATAATGAACAAAAATACCAGAGGAATTAGGATTAAAAGCAATAAAGTCTTGAATATTGGTGAGAAAAGACGAAGAGAGGTAAGAAGTTTAGGAACTTTCAAAATAAACAACTTAAGTCATTTCCTAGCAATTCTGAATAGGAAGGGAAACAAAAGAGGTGAGGTATGTGGGCTATATTTATATTGTTCTAATAATCTTATAAGGTTTACAAAGCTTATTTATTATTATTATTATACCAAATGTAGATATAAAGATGTATAGACCTAGACAGGTGTACAGATACGAGAAAAGGAAGTTTGTTTCCCTTTTAACCTTTTTGTTCCCCTACTAAAAAATGTAAAATATGATAATATTCTAAACCGTGAAGGTATGCTTTAAATATTTTTTACAGTGGTCTCAAAAATTAAATTATTTGAATCCCTATATATATTTTTCAAATAAGCATGGCTTTGAATGAGACATGTTTGTTCTGCTACTATTTTTAAATGTAATATTTATATTCACATTTAATTCCAGTGTACAAGAAGGAGTTCTCACTCCAAACAATAGCGGCATGCGAAACCCAAGAGATCAAACCTTGAAAGCTATGTACTAATAGGTTATTTAGTTTTCAAAATCTTAAATTAATAACAATTGGCAATAAAGCTCATTAAAATTCCTTTTGTTCAGGATCCATTGTGTTGATCTTCAAGCCCTGTTCTTCTAAAATGATTGAAGCTGAGATCTCCACCTAGTGGATTTATTGGATTTTGCAGATTTTTATGGAAACAGCCAACTATCCCTGGAAATCCTTAACTTTTTTCTCTTAGAGAAATAACAGGTTTTAAAGACTTCTACTTAAATCTAAGATAATTGTTAACAGGACAATTGCAAATGTATGAAATATGCCAATCTGCATATCAGTTAGACTACAGTTAACAAAGCTGAATTTTTATTTTCATACTATAATTAAGAAAACAGATCAAATGCAAATATGAATATATAATTATCCATGTAGAAAGCAATATTGTAATACCACTAATTGACATGTGTATAATAATTTACATAAAATAAACATCAAATGTAAATCTGCTCAAATACTCTTATTATGTAGTCTTTCATTGTTTTGAGGCTTTTGTTTTTTTGCTTTTTCAATGTTTGCTTGCTTTTGCAAGACTTGGCCAAACTTTTCT